GACCAGTTGATCAAATCCATAATTCTCTTTTAGGTTTTAGAGAACGACAGTGAGAGATTGTTCGAGGGAAAGTAATACACACGAGACAAGACAAGGATACAAGAGGCTAAGCAAGGAAGATAAGGGTAAGGAGGAGAGGAGAAAAAGTGTGACCGCCTTCGCATTTGTACAGAAGTGCTGCTAAAGATACTCACACATCCACTATTAACACAGACTCTCCCCTGTGTCTGATGAGGTCAAGCAGGTACTGAGAGTCTGGTGTGGGGATGTTCAGGGAGTTCACAATGTGAAGATCATCCTTTGTCAGCTAGCAGTTCAAAAGGGGGGAAAGTATTCAGCTGTCAAGAAATATTACGGATACGTAATAATGTAGTTAAAGTCATCGTGTATCCTATTCTCACATTTGTTATGTGCTCTAATTATAGTGTCACAGATAAAGAAAGGATTTTCTTTCTTTCTTACAAGTTCGTCACTGTCACCAATCTGCTACAAACCAAATACTCTCAAGAAATGATATGAGAACATAAAGGGTGAAGAAATTCTCCATTTAAAACAAGTGGATTTATCTCCTCCCCTCTTTAAGCAAACTTTCTTCTAAGTGGCTAACCACTGCAAACAAAGGGTCTGAACAATAGGTGGGTGCGGCTTCTGTATTCACACGTGTGAGATATCTGTACGGGTTATCGTCTCTGTGACATCATAACAACAGCAATAAGCGCTTGAGATAAGTGGGTGACAAAAACAGCTGCTTGTGGACACCGTCATATGTTACTGCATGTTTTACAACTCTTATTACAGATGTTATGAGCCTCTAACATCACTAGCAGCTGTATTTGCTCTTCACATGAAACAAAGGGGTTTCTCTTACCTGAGCCATCTTGGAGCTCAGCGCCACTTTGAGTCCTTGCACTCGAACTTTCATGGGTAACATGTAGTAGTAACTGGTGGGTCCTCTGGGTCCATGAGACACTCCACCTGAATGAAACACAGAACCAGTCAGACCATACTGGCCTCCAGCATGGGAATCCTTCCAGATCAACTCCACTGAAGGGTGAT